GTGTATATGCTTTGTGTTTACAATACTAATGCCCTTTGAATCAAAGAGAACCTTCATGCATTCTGGCTTGGTATTTATGGCATTTCTTTCAATGGTTTTGTAGAGCAAGTGCATTTTGTACATAATTTTTCTAGGATGATAAACTAATAATTATCTTAGTAGCAATTTTTGAAGGACTATTCTTTAATGTAAAATACCTTAAATTATCAGCTAACACTCCAATATCAATAGATAATCCAACCCTGAGCTTCTGAATATGCTAATAAATACACTGATAGCAGGAACTGTAACAATGTGCAGGAATAAAAGAAAATGGATCCCTGGGACTGAAGATGGAAAGAGCAGGCATAAAAGCCAAAATAAAATCCATGGAAGGATGCTAAGCTTTTACCATGAAGACAACAGCCTCCATGAGAACAAAATTCTGGATTGTTACCATCAGCTTTTGATTTTGCAACATTTGTGTACCTTAAGGCTTAAGCATGCCACTTGCTCCATATTTCTAAATTACTCTTGCTTTACTGTAAACAAAGCTACAAGGCCCAACTCTCCTAGGAGCACAGGAACTGTACTTCACTGACTTGGGGAGTTTATGTCTAAATGCCTTTCAGTATCTGAGACTGTTTCCATCCCTTACAAATGAGAACAAAAGTGAAATAATATAACAAAGAACAAGTGGAGGATTCAAAACCAATAATATCAAGGTTTCAGGTTAACCAGTCACAGGGATGAATTTAAAGAGATGATTTTTCTCAAAAGATGATTTACAGCTGAGCACCTGGAGAAGACAGTTTGCACCTGGCAGAGCTAAAGAACTTTTTTCGTAATAAGAAATAAAGCAAGAAGCCTGGAGATGATTTATGTAATCTTCATGCTCAGAGTCAGCATCCTGGGAAAAGAAAATCAGATAAAATATAATGATGGGTAAGGCTGGCAGAAAGATGTGCAGCAGTGAAAAAAAAATCAATATTAATATTAGCAAAAAAATGTGCTAAATGAATGAGAGAGCTGTGCTTAATCCAGTTTGGGAATGGAGAGCTGACAAGAAACAAGCAATACACTTGGCAGCACAAGGGATATACAAGGTAACATTGCCCACAGAGCAGCGTGGGCAGACTTGGTCAGATGCTGCAGGTGCTGTAGGGGCCAGGGCAAAGTGAAGGGCTGTGACCGCTACTGCAACAGTATTTCTACAAGCATGAGCTGCTGAGAAGAGATGAAAGTGTGGGATTAACTCAAATATCTGTTTTTTGCTTCAGGCCCACGGATCTGACATTCAGTACTTTTCCCTCCTCAGTATGTAAGGCTCAGAGCAGAGCAGAGTGCTTCCCAGGGAGCTGTGCTGCTGCTGTTGAAGCAACCCTCATTAGCTGGCCACCAGCCTTCCTGGCCAGGTGTGCTGGGACTCTGCTGCAAGGCAGGACCCTCTGGAGCTGGGGAGGGGAGAACCTTTGTGACACCCCCTGGATCTGCTGCTGCTCTCTGTACCCCACAGCACTGCCAGGGGAACAGGGTTGCTCCAGGCCAGGCTGGCTGGGACTGCCAGGATGTTCACCATTGCAACTTGGAGCAGCCCCACGGCTCTGCTTGCATCACCACCTTTCTTTGGGAGCATTTCTCTCTCTCCTGCCTTGCTGCCTGCCCCAGCATAGAGTTCAGGATGTTGGTTTTCACCTCCAAATTCCATTCAAGCTGTTCCCAGCACTGCTGTGAGTTACGTGGCTGCCAACGGATTACTGCTACACGTCAGCAAGTGCCAAGGAAGGGGCGCTGGCTCCTCAGGAACCATGCTCTGCACAGTCTGCCAGTATGCCTTTTCTCACTCTCTGCTTAAGCCTGTCTTTGTCTTCCTATGAGCAGTCCCAGCTCTGATTTTCATTCATTCATTCCCCTGTGCCACCCATCATCCTTCTCATAACACCACCCCAGTGGTGCTCAAGCACTCACCTGCAGCCTGCTGTCCCCTGCTCAGCTCAGCTGCTTGCTGCCCAGCCTAATAAAGGACATGACCACTGAAAGCAGTGGAAATACCTCCCTTCACTTCAGGGCCTTTAGAATAAGCCTGTGATCATGCTGATGGAGAGAGGGTCCCCAGCAACCCAACTAAAGCCAGGGACAGTGGTCCCATCACCTGAAGCGGGATGCACAGTGCACCTCGAGATGTTGTCTGCTCTTCTCTTGTTTGCTGTGTAACCTTCACATTTGCTTCTTATGACCTGCTGTAGCCACTTTGGAGGGGCAGATCCAGCCTGTCCCCTGAGGTACAGGTATTTGTGTGCCTGTAGTTAATCCTGTGCTGTTTGGCACTGCATGGAGCAGAAGGAAGGCTTGGGGGCAGGAGCTGTCTCCCTGGAAAAAACGTGCCTTCTCATTAGCTCTGTAATTTAGACCATTGATCCTAAATGCGGAAACCATGTTTTTTTTACTGGATACAGTATGTGAATGCACAGCACCCATGATAGTGGCGTCGAGTCTAACCTAAAAATGTTGTAAATACTGCAACTGCCATTTATATTAACCAAAGCATGAGCATTTTATTTCAGTTTATTTCTGAACATTTTCAGTACAATGTTCAGAATATTTGGCAGACCTGGGGATTGGATGACATCCGTGTTGACTTTCAAAATCAAACTGCCACCTTGTGGTATGGTGAGGGAGAGGTCTGCAGGAAATAGTAGAGACAACAAAAATACAGATATATAGTAAAAACTGGTCCCTTTTGTTCCTCCCATATCTTACACTATTTATGTATTCATATATATTCAAAACATTATATATGTTTTGACTATACTTCAGGCAAATAAAATACTTATGTCAATTCTTTAAAAAGACTATCTAACTTTTGGGGATTGTTTGTTAATTCAAAACATAGAAACATTTCCTTATTCTTGTGTGTAATTGCACTGAAACCACTCATAGGAGTAGATTTTTTTCTATATTAGACCCAAACACTGCTTACAGAAAAACACTAAGGCCACAGTAGGCATCTATATAGGCAGTATACATATCTGTAATTGCTTCCTTTCTCACTTTTAAACTTAATGATAAGAAAAATTTCTGTGAGAGTCAGAGCAGGGACACACAAACTGATGAAGGTGAGCAAGTTGTAACCTGGTCTGAGGAGCTGTTCCTTCCTCACATGCTCTTGGACCATGACAAATGTAAGGTAATTTTAATCAGCTTTGTCTTTCACTGTGGGCCAAGCCAGCACAAATTACTTCGTCTTGCTTGTCAACCAAGAGCAAGCACGATGGATCAGCAGATGTGCAGAAATCTGTTAGAGCAACATGCTTGTCCATGTCAACCTTTGAGCAGCAGAGAGGCATAGAGATGTCCCAGCACACATCTTTCAGCCAGTTTGAACGTCCTTGTGACATATAATACCATTTATGAAAGAGGAGAGATAAAAAGCTAATCAATTCCAAATCAGAAGTGTAGCTGAGGTGGACAATTGATTGCAGCCACATATCAGTGCTTTGTGCATCCACAACTTTCCAGGAATATAGTGGTTTAAAAATAAAGTTGCAGGTAACAAGAAGCCTGTAAGATCTGGAGTTCACATCCTGTTCCTCTCCTCATACCAGGGAGGGAACAACACTTTTTTAAAGCCTGAAGTCACCCACTACTGAAAGTAACAAAGTAGGCAGGAGGTGGTACTGTGTGAGGGAATGTAAAGGCATGAAGAGCCTAATGCCAACTCTGGTCTTAAACCTTAAAGGACACAAATTAGCTGCCTGGGACCTATAGAGCACCAGGGCAAGCCATTTTCCTTCCCCTTGTGACTATTACAACGTGCATTACCTTGGGGAATTAGTGTTTGTAAAGTATTTTTCATTCAAAAGTACATAGGTAGAAGGAACACACAAATATGAGCTGCTGTCTGGTAACACCTTTGCTGAGCACAGGCTGTAGGAGAGAGCTGGTGAGCAGTCCCTTGGACAGGGGTCCTGCAGGTGCTGATGGGGCTGCCTGAGGAATCTGGCCTCTGGAAACCCTTCAAGCAGAGAGGCTGATCTGACTTCCACTGTCACCTGGCTCACATTTCTCCATCAGCTCACTTGGCAGCCAAACCCACAGGAAGGAGAAATATGAAGATTTCTTTATAATGGCAGTTGTGGTGGTGTCTGCTTTGCTGGGCAATTTAAATCAAGGGTAAATAGTGTCCTTCTAGCTATGATCTCATCCAGCAGCCCAAGTGGGTGCAGGTGTGAGCCACTTCTAAGTGATGCATGGCAGCAGCACATGCTAGCTACATGTGGGTTCTCATTCTCTAACTGTGTCAGTACAGGGATGGGGCTGGCAAAGACCACAGGAAAAAGTAGGGAGAGTGCAGTGTTTAGTGGGTGATGGGCTTGTGAGAGAAGTTCTGAATTTAGATGAAGGGTGAGCAGGGGAAGGAGAAGAGCCTATGGACCCAAGCAGCCTCCTGTGCTTGCCGCTGAGTTAATTCACACACAAACCCCCTGCAGTGTATGAGATCCCCCACCCCATAAAGTGGCTGTACAGCCCTGCAGCCCCCTTGTCCCAGCATTTCTGCTTCCAAGGAGCACTGCTTGCTGCCCCTGAGCTCAGCACCAGCAAGAGAAGAGTGGGTTTCCTCCCACATGAAGAGTGCCCTGGAGATTTTTAAGATTTTTTTTTTCCTGAATTGCACTAGTTAAAAGGTATCTGTGGGCAGAGCATCTCATCCCCTTGTGGCCAATAAATCAGCCATGGCAAGTCTGAAAGGAAGTTTGGGTGCTTCTCCAGCTGAGAAACAACACCCAGGACTACTTCTTTTAATATAAGTGTATGGACAACACCAGAAGGTAATCAGGTGGTTAACAAAGCTTAATGTGTAAGAAGCCCATGGAGGTAACTCTTATTTTGTTTTAATTGCTAGTGTGTCTGTCCTCGCTTTCATCAAAAGAGTGTGGTGACATGTAAGAGTGGCATTTCGATGCCCGAAATGCTCCTCATATAAATAGAACAAGCAGATCAGCATGACTGAGTGATAAAATTACCTTCTGGTCTTCAGAAACTTCAGCATGCAACTGTGCTATGCACCTCAGTGTGCCCCTCTTCACAGCACAAACAGATACGTCTGGAAATGGATTTGGAGGAGACATACAAAGAGGGAGAGAACACAGAGGGGAAAATTAGTCGAGCTGCAGCTGCAAAGTTGGTGAAAAAAGCTTTTCTTGAAGCCCTGAAGTCCAATGACTTTGAAACACTGGAAGAGCTCTTGAGCCAAAAGAAAATAGATGTGGACACAGTGTTTGAAGTGGAAGATGAAAACCTGATTCTGGCATCCTACAAACAAGGTAAATGTGGCAGCATTGACCAGACAGGAAGTAGAGGGGTTTGAGTGATTTTCAAGGAACTGTGGCCTTTTATCTCCTCTGAAGCTGCAGCATGAGCTGATCCACATGCAGGACCGTCTCAGCAGGCTCACATGGTCAGGGCCATGTAGCAGGGGAGCTTATCAGCTGTGTGGGCTTGGTGAAGGGCAGGCCAGAGCCCAGCCCGAGCCTCCGTGCTGCAGCTGCAGGAGACTCCAGAAAGAGGAGTCCTTTGCCATTTCCTCTCAGAGAACTCGGTTGCAAAGACCAGAATAGACACCTGCAGGTGTATAAATGGGGTGTATACATTTCTTGCATGAACCCATTCACATGTACAGACTATTTAGAAACATAAAATATCACCTGTCTTCCATCTTCAATTGAAGTAAAGTGGATTCTCCCTAGCTGAGGGGAACTGAGGAAATCCTGTGGACCTTGGATGCTGCTGGATGGGAGAAGGTTTATTTTTCCAAGTGACAGAAAGTGAGGATGTGGTAGTTTATCAAAACAAAAAAATAACCAGGACAATCAACACAACAGCTGTTTTGGAGTGTAGAAAACCCAAACCATTTCCCAGCCAGACACTGAAAGAGCTTCCAAAACCTTACAACTTAAAGCAATAAACCAAGTTTGCTCTGTGCTAAAATCAACATACTTCATGACCTACTTGCTAACAGACTCTTCTTGTGTATTTAGAAAGCAGTAATGGTCAGTCTCTGCCAGAAGTTAATCATATGTGGAGATAAACACCTCCAGCAGCAGCAGCAGCAGCACAGCAAATGCACTTTCTCTTCTGTGGCAAAAAGAAGGGACTATCTCACGTCTTCTCTTTTTCTGTGTTATTTAATGATTGGTTCCTGCTCTTTTGATTTCTTAAGGGTGAGGATAGTACAGTCAGGATGTACTTCCCTTAGGGACAGTGCATGAACTAAGCCACACTGTGCTGGATTTATCTTAAAATAGATCTTCTTCTGTCCTCAGAAGGCTAAAATGCAATCTGGTTGTGGTTTGAGACTACAGGATTAATGAATAGATTTTTAATCACAGATCATTTGACTGCAATCAGTAACTAGTCTCTTTTGAAGAATTCTCTTTTGAAGAATTCTCTTTGTTTTCCAAAAAGTAGAGAGAGAGGAAATGCACCTTTATGGCCTAAATCACAGTATTGTATTCACTTTGTCTGAAAGGCAGGAAGCACTTCTATCAACTCTTATGTAAATTTTACTTTTGTTCTGAATGATAGATAACTGTGATATGAAAGGGGGATTTCCTCAAGGATGAAGAGGGGAGAAAAATTCACCACCCCACCATTCTGACACTCTGATCTTTGCCATAGCCCTTAGTGATGAAGTGGAAAAGAGATGTCATGGGTGACAGAGTGACTTTTCTTCCTCTCTTCCAAAGAGGCTGAGAGCTTTCAAAGATGCTGATCTTGCACCATGGCTTCCTTATGTTACTAGCCAAAGAAACAGGTAAGCTGAATGAGGTCTCCCATGGAGCCCACATCTGCTTCCTGCTCAGTGTCTGTCCCTGTCCCTCTGAGCTCAGAGGTCTTGGCAGGTTTGGACAGAGGACATGGGAGATGCTCCCTGGGGATGTCTGAGCACAACTCACCTGCAAGCAGCACAGGCAACAGAAATACATTGTGTACTCAGGCAGGAAAATTTTGGCTATAAAAAGTGATAACTTGCCTTTTAAGTATAATTTTCCTGCTGTTAATGTATAATTTATGGATTGTATCTGGCCATAAATAGAAGACCAAGCCCTATGTGGGATAAGCCTGAAGTGTATCCCAGTTCACTGGCAACAAGGGGGTACACTGCACGTGCAGCTGGATAGGGAGGGGATTCAAGAAGCTTGCTCTGCTATATGCAGAGACTTTGGCATATAGCCTACTTTCTCTGTGCCTGGTTTGAGGGGATATGATGAGGAGGATGCCAGTGTAACCTGCACAGTCAGCAGGTTGAGTGTCCTCAGAGGAGGCTGTCACCCTGCTCAGGCACTCCGGGGCCTCAGAGCTGCTGCTCTTGCCTTTTACAGTGTGGGTTCCTTGAGCACTGGCTTTGGCAGTCCCAAAAATTTGGTCCTAGAGTAGATGACGTGGTCTGCAGTTTCTTGCCCCCAACTTGTAATTTATCTAGGAGGGAAGAAAAATTTTAATCCATTTCTCCTTGCCACCAGCAGTTTGTTTCCTCCCTGCTTGTACCTCGTGAATACTGTAAAAACTGTATATATATGACATTAGTGTTGAGAAACTGCATTAGTGTTGAAAAAAAAAATTTTACCAGAGACTAAAATGGCAGACTTGAATTAATTTGACCTCATGGTACGTCTCTAATATTTTTTTCTATGTTTTTTATATGATAACAGATTTCAGCCAGACAGTTGTCCAAGGAGAAATAGATAAATCAAACCCAGAGAATTTTATAGTCACATTCTAGCTAAGATGCAGGTATTGTATATTAAAAAAAAAAAAAAAAAAAAAAAAAAATTTTAGACTTCTCTTGCCCTTCTGCACATTATTGTGATGCTTTATTTTTCTTAAAAAAAGTAAATAGTAATAGTAATATAGCAAACACTTCTGTGCAGTCATTAAGCATATAGTCCTAATTTGGGAACAAGTATTTATGTGTCATTTGGCCTTACATCTGTTTGTAAATAAAAAAGGAAAAAATCACTGTGACATTTTCAGAGAAAAATATAAACATTTTGCAGCCAAATTTTGTGCTAAAGTGTCACTGCTTCTATTTGGCTCCTCAGCCTAATTTACATCAGCTTCCAATCTCCTCACTCTGTGCTCCTCAGGGCAGTAGGTGGGGTATATTGCCAGGGGTCATCCATCTGTAATGCATCCCTGGAGGTCTGAATCCAGCCACTGACATGCAAGTTCCTGCCATCTCCCAGACAGAAACAGTAGGATGAGCTGTCTGTTGAGTCATTGAACTAAGTAAATGCTGTCATCTTATTCCAATATCACCTTTGTTCATCTATTGGCAGGTTGGAGATCCCACTTCCCCCATGTTTTTTAGCTGTTGGCATTTCAAACCCTTTAAGCATTTTTTAATTGTTTTGTTTAACCTATACCAGTCACAAAAAAGTCTAATAGCTTCTTTCAGAGTACGTCAACATGGGAATTATCTCTCCTAAAGGCAGGCTATTCAGCACACATAGTAACAGTGCTTAATGGAAATGAAGTTATGCTTGAGAGAACTTTGTGTGCACTGTGCTGGTGAAATTACAGTAAATTACATTTAAACTCCAACCCTCTCTTCCCCTTCAATTATTCTCAATAGGTGGATAGTCCTAAGAAAAGTCTTTGCCAAGTCTGGTAACACATTCTCACTTTGTACAGGGTACTGGCTTCCCAGCTACAAATTAAAAATATCCTGGGCAACTGGGCTTCATATAGCTGTCATGTATGGACACCTGGAGAGTCTTTTGGTCCTCCTCAATCACAAAGCTACAATCAACTGCCGGCCCAATGGAAAAGCTGCCATCCACATAGCCTGTGAAATGGCAAATGTTGAGTGTCTCAAGATCCTTTGCAACCACGGAGCTAAGCTGAACTGCTTTTCCATGAGTGGGCAGGCGCCCTTGCACTTCTGTACAACACGAACCTCCATGCCTTGTGCCCAGCAGCTGCTTTGGAGAGGTAAGGAAAAGCTCTGGAGTGCTATCTCTCATGCCATGGGCAAAGATGGTGAGCATGGTCTGGGCTTTCTCTTAGGAGGCAATTTCTCAAAGTAGATGTGTATTTATCCCTTCTATCCACAGCATCTCATGTCTTCATCTCAGGCTCCTTGTCCTCATCTCTTTAATCAGAGGAAGTTTCTCCTATTCTGTTTCCTCACCTCATCCATCTTTCCCTTTCCCTGGCCACAGGTCCTTACTCCAACATTGCTTCCCATTTCAGTGTCTCCAGTCCATTGCCCAATCAGTCCATCAGCAGCAGAGCTCCTCTGAATCAGGGAGTTTCCATATCTCTTGGGATTTTTTTTCCATCTTTTTCATCTAGGTTTACTTTTGAGCTATTTTCATGTGAAAGGGCACCCCTCATCTTCTTTTATCAAATTTTCTGGACCTGAATAAAATTTTCCCAGCTGCTTGGTTTTTGAGATCTGGTCTTGAAAAACTGGATGCAGTTTTTTGTGCCATCTTTTCATTTGTCATGAATGCATCCAAACATGCCTGAAGGAAAAAAAAAAAAAAAGGTGTTATATAAGACTTTTGTTTTCCCAAAGTAAAATACATTATGGTTCTGGTCATCTGCAACAAATGAGGCTATGAATAGATGTAATTCTTCCATAAATATATTTGTCACACACTATTTCCTGACCAGAAGGGTACTGACACAGGACACAGTAAAAGAAACACAGTTCAAATCCTTAGTTACAGAGAAACTCCCCTGTTTATCACACTGTGCCATGGCAATACAAATGATTTTGGGTTGGTTTAGTTACATGTGTTGCTATTGAAAGCTTTTCCTGAGATGCAGAGCCCAAGTGCAAAGTCCATGCTTTGTGGGGAAGGCAATCTGCAGTCATAAATGAATAACAACATTGCTTTTCTTCTTCTGGAAAAATACATATTATTTTGTTTGGTGGAAAGGAAAATAAATACTGCCAGTTGTATCCTGCCCAAAGCAAACAGTCCTGACAGCAGGAGTTGAATTTGCTAGCATAGAAAAGCTTAAAAGTCAAATGTACTCTTATGAAACACAGCAGAGGATGAATGCAAGTGAAAGGATGTATTCTGCAGGCTTTCTCCACCCACCCATCAACAGCATAATAGTACTTTAAAAGCCACCCTTCCCCCCAAAGCACTCTTTAAACTCTGATTTCCGTATGAGTTGAATGCTGAGACTCCCAGTAGAATGGGAAAGGTCTGGAGCAAACCCTGTCAGGTGTGCACATTCACAGAGCAGCACCCCCAAGAGCCGAAGCCAGGGTGTCAGTTAATATCCGTGCCCCAAGGTTTCCAAGATGCATCTTTCACCTGCCATCCCCACTCGGCGGTGTCCCTTGGGATCCCTCCCGCTCACGGCACTTTATCCCCCTCTGGCTGGGGAGACAGCGCAAGCAGTGCTGATCCCGCGTTTGGTTGCCGCCTCCAAACTTGGATTGCCGATGCCGTCTCAGGGACATCGAACACGACTAACACTCAGCACGGCTTAAGAGCATTATCGCTGGTGTTTCCAGCCCGGAGGCAGGCTGTGACCCCGCCCGGCTCCGAGCCCGGCAGATGGTGCTCTTGCTCCAGCTCCGCACGGACCGCGCGGCCGGAGCCGCTCCGCCGCGCTTTGGAAACGGGATCCGGACCCCCGCCGGGGACCCTGGCAATGGGTTCTTTAATATCATCCACGGATCTGTCGTAAAATGTCCTTTCATCCAAGCTCGCGTTAACGAGGTGCTGCGGGGAGTGCTTTCAGGGTACAGAGCAGAGCTGTTCGGAGTAGGAGTAATGATCTCCATCCTCCACCAGTTCTCAATTTATAGGAAAAACCATCTTAGGCAGAAATTTGGACTTGCATGCTGCTCTGAAATAGACTGTTCAGATAAGGTCTTCCTTGGGGCCAACATAGAAGCTGGATCCAAGAACCTTAAGTTTCTAAGAGTTTCCCTGGAGACAACCAATGCAGGATCGATCCATGCTATTTCCATTTACACATGTCTTTCATGACAGTTGCCCACCCTGACCTTTTCCTTGGGAAGAAGGGCCCATACAGAGATAGAAACAAGTGTTTCATTGCCTTCATCTTTCCGGTCATCTTTCTTTGGCAGGAGCAAATGTGAACATAAGAACAAACAACAAAGATGAGGAGACTCCCCTGCACGTGGTCGCACGTTTGGGTGTCCCAGAGCTCGTGGCCTTTTACGTGGAACAGGGAGCACAGGTGGATGCTCTCAATGCCTACATGGAGACTCCCCTGGCCTGTGCAGCCTACTGGGCCCTTCACTATAAGGATCAGATATACAGCCAGGACCATCACCTCATCTGTCGGATGCTCCTAGACTATAAAGCTGAAGTGAATGCTCGTGATGAGGATTTCAAATCACCACTCCACAAAGCTGCCTGGAACTGTGACCACGTCCTGCTGCACATGCTGCTGGAGGCAGGAGCAGAAGCAAACATCATGGATGTCAATGGCTGTGCACCCTTACAGTATATCATAAAAGTGACATCTGTGCGGCCAGCTGCTCAGCCAGACATCTGCTACCAGCTGCTGCTGAATCATGGAGCAGCTAGGATATACCCTCTGCAATTCCACAAGGTTAAGGATGTCTTTGTACAGTAGGGGTATGGAGAGGGGTGGTGTCTTGAACAGGAATGGGATGAGAGATGTATCCAAACTATCTGGATTTGCTGGAGTCCTGTCAGTCTGGGTCCAGAATGCCCAAAACATTGTAAAACTATTGTAAGAGTGATGTCATTTAACTGAAGTGAAATTACAGTTGCCTGTACCAGAAACGAGACACAGATCTAATTTTTGCTCTTAACCAATCTGAAATGCCAAACTGTAAATGCTGGTTGAAGCCTAATTTTTCAGAGCAGATTCACTTTCTCATTTCAGAGAACCCACATCCCTTTGTCAAACCTGGCTTCACACAAGTTTCACTGAGTTATATAAAATGCATATTTCATGGTCTTCACCAAAGATTAGAATGAGACCGCTTGATTCTGTTTGTCACAGCTGACAGTTAAAAATTATTCAAATCTATTAAAAATGAAATGCTTCTCAATAAAGCTTTGGATTATTCCCAGGAAATGTGATAATTAAGGGCTCAAAGCTGATGACAAAAAAACCAAAAAAGTATTGCAGGATCCCTCCTGAAAAGTTTTTAAACACCTGCAAAGCCCAAGACACTGACAGAAGTAGCTAACAGTGTTGTTATATCAGATAACTAAGTAATCTTGCTGAAGCCAGGACTTACTGTCTCTCATCCAGTACCCTAAGCAACAGTTTGCAGTTCCCTGACTGTATATGTAAAGTTTTAACAAGTCAAGCAACCAGAAGGCTTTGAATAAAATGCCAAAATTTTAATTGTGCCCTTTTGAGCCCATGATGAGCAGTCTCTGCCTGTAGCAGAACAATGCTTAGTCTCTTAGAGGGCATTTCAGAGCAGGGTCTGAAGTCTCCTCTTTCTGCATCTTTGTGCATGAAGTGGGTCTCTCTTCCAAACCATAATTTGCCTATCTATAAAAATGTAGGATATTTATCCCAGAGGGATGTTCTGCAGTTTTTTTGTGAAACCTGGAGACTGCATGAGACAAAAATTGGGTGAATGCAATGTTATTCTCTGCATATGAGTGACAATAGACTGGGGTTTTTTCCTGTTGAGCTAAAATGACTGAGCAGAAGATTTGTGTTGGGGTCCTTGTGCGGCTTGAAAGCCTTACTTCTGAACTGTCTCTTCTTCTGGTCACATTTTAAATTTTTCTCTAACATTGCATTTTTGATTCATATAATGGGATTGTTTTCTATTCCTGAGCTGCATGTGCTGAAGGAAGAATTTTTGTGCATGGCTTTGCCTGGTGTTGAGTCACTCAACCCAGCTATGAAAAAACTATCTCTAGATGCGGGTGATAAAACCCACCCCACCTAGACTGCTGTGGAGATCTAAGCCAGAATTTCTGTATGGTCTTAAACTGGGGATGAGCCTGGGGCTTCTTGCTGTGCTTGCACAGAGTGGTTGCGTCTTTTGCATCTCCAGCCTTATCCTCTCATTGTTGTTTGGCTCTGTCTGTCCCAGTTTGCTGCTGTGCAGTGCCAAGCACCCAGGCTAGCCCTGGCTTCCTGGCGCTCCTCATGTTCTCCATGCATCCTGCCTGCAGGTGCTGCAAGCCTGTCATTCCCACCCCAGAGCTGTGGAGGTAGTCGTCAACTCCTACGAACACATCAAATCAACATCTAAGTGGAAAGCAGCCATACCTGAGGATGTCTTGCAGGTAAGCTCTCAATGAGTTACAACTGAGTAAAATCCAGGCTTATTATTTGAATAACCCACACCGAACCATTAGAAAGAACACTTTTGAAAGAGAAGAACATCTCAGAGGATGGGGACTTCCCCACTTAATATCTCTCATTTGACAAAAGCATATCACTCACTGAAAAAATACATGTTTTTGATATTTTAATTGCAATGTTATCTTTTGGTGCACCCCCTGTCAGTGGTACAGAAGGAGCTCAGCTGTCCCTGTTCTCGGCCAGTGAAAAGATTCTGGCTGTGATTGGTGTTTCTTCAGATTTTTCAATATGGATATTTATATTTCTTTTAAGCCAGCAAATATTTTTAAAGGGCCATATTACATGGGTAGGACTATGTACCTCTAGGTTCTATTGCATGGGTCAGATTTCATGGAACAGGATGAGTTAGCTGCAAATGCAAGGGAGAATTTAAATGAAAAGTAAGAGATTAAAGAAGAAAATATGTGGTCAAAAGGCAAAACTGTGGGACAAATGACATGCTTTGACATAGTTATCCCTTTAATTCAAAAATCCTTACTCCAAATATTCCGGTTGCCCTAAAACTCACTTGTGGTTATTTTACAGCGGCACCAGGATTTCTATGACTCTTTGTTCACCGTGTGCAGCAATTCCCCACGGTCACTGATGCACTTGTGCAGATGTGCTATTCGGGCGATACTGTCAGAAAAGTGTCATCGAGAAGTCCCCTTGCTCTCCATCCCTCTGTCCATGAAGAAGTACTTGCTGCTGGAACCAGAAGGAATCATCTACTGAGCCAGCACAGAGCAGGCACTGGCATCTCCCTTCCCGGATCCATATGCCTCTGTGGGGTGCCAGAGATCCAGGCACAATCCTGACACAGCCCTGTGTGTGTGTCCATTTGCTGGCCAGCCTGCAAGCTGGGCTGGCATTGACTGGCTCTCCTCGGAGCTGCTCTCTTTCCCTACACTGAGAGATTGCAGGCTGCAGTTTGCACAGGGGAGGCAGAGCTGGAAAAGCCCCTGCTCCAAACGCTCCCAGGACGCACACTGCTTTGTTCAGCCTAGCTTAAACAATGCTGCTGCTTCCTTCAGTACTTATACCACTGCCTGCTAGATAGCGTTTGATTAAATCTGAGAAATCTTTGATATTGTTTCACTATGACTTTCTTCAGCTGTCATTTTGGGAGTAAAAGAAAGGATACTGTCAAAAAATAAGTCACAGAAATGATTTTCCAGAATGAAACAGACAAACCACCCTGGTTTATTACTACAGACAGGCTTTCAGTAGTTTCTGTGTTTTCCTTTGCACTGACTCTCAATTTGATGTTAGTTCACTCTTCACTACCTGTCTGATTCCCATAAAGCTTTGTCATAATGATCCTTTTTAATTGTAAGAATTTTTTCCTTTATCAACCATATCAACCAGCAGGTGAACAAGATAGAAACATGCAGCCCTGAAATTTCTGTATGCTGGTACTGGTTAGCTTTGAGCACATACTCACTCTGTTTCTGCTCTCACTGTGGCCAATGATAAATTAATATCCTGCTGTCAAGAAAGGCAGGTAAAAAAAAAACTTTCCCCCAAAACCTGCATAGCTGTACTTGTACCCATCCCTGATATCTCTCAGAATGATGTTGGACATGATCTGGGCAGCATAACACCCTTCTTGTCATTGACTATAAAATGAACCTAGCCTGCTAGCATGTACTATTCACCTCATTTTTGGTAGCTAGGTGCAGTGAGAGGAATTCCACATTAACCAAAAGGTGTTTCCAAGATAAAGATGTGCTGCCTGTGCTGTTACAGACCTGCCAGGCCCCCTGCTTTGCAGTTCCTGTGCTCTTGGACCTGCTAGCACTGGTTTCCTTTATTTCTGACCAAGCTACTTTCTCCAGTCCAGGAGGATGAAATGCAGAGCAGTGGCAGTTCACACAGCAAGTATCCCACAGCAAGCACAAGTGTGTGATCTGACCTACAGGAAAATCCTAATTTTCTTCCCTTTTTTAGTTTGATGCAACCCATCTGAGCTGTTCCACTTGTCTTAGATTCTGGCAATTCTGGGCTCTGTGAAAAGAGAGGTAAGCCAGGCCCACCACTGGGAGCCAGTAACTCCTGACTTCTCATTGCATCTCTGACTGTGAAGCTGTCAGTCCCAATCATTATTGTTATCTCTTTGCAAGACAGCCCTCAGCACACTAGGCTCTTCCCAGACAAAACAGAGCAGCCAAACTGTTCAAGTGTCTCTGTGTTTCACACAGTGGCAAAAACAGCATTTGAAAAAAACATGCAGATTGTTTAGTGTTACAAATCACTTGCCTTTCCTCTCAGTTTTCAGTAATTAAAGCTTGTACACTGTGTACAAGAATCCAGTTCATGGGTCTGTTTATATTTAACCAGACAGCAATGAGGATTGCTATTTAACAGTTTCCTATTCCAATAAGGAATTTCAATGTGAACACAGACCATGAATAAATGTTTTCTTATGTGAACGAAGTTACAATATAGGTCCCTGTAATTCACTAAGCCAATGAGACATTTCCATACAGCTGCAGAGATGTCTCTATCAGAGATACTATAGTAATTTACTGGAGAGAATAATCAGCATCTGAGACAGGTTTTCTATAGAAAAATCAGCTTGAGACACGTCCTGGTCAACAGGATTCAGTGGATTCTGCACTGCAAAAAAGGTGAATTTGGAAAGATGAAAAAGAATAGGTTATTTAAACCCACTGCTTTTCTAGGTGATGCATCTCTAAGTCAGGCATGAGGAAGAAGATTTGCCAGCTGGTCAGGTCAAGAAATATTTGTTGCTTTCTGAACAGTCTGACAATGGTGCGAGCTGGGCAGTCCAAAAGAGACAGATGGAGGTAGCTGATATTATTGGAAGCACATCCCCACACTGGCTCCTTCTGAAATTCTGCATCTGGAAATGGGAGGTTTAAGGCAGAACAATAGCAGTGTTTTCTGACCTGTTGTAGCCAGGACTCTCTTGCTGAGAGAGAAGAATAAAGGCTGTCACCAGTGTTCCTAAATTCCCTCTGATCCTCTCCCTCTGCAGTGAACACACTTAATTTTTATTCTGTGGGCACCCAGGCACACTTCCAAGCTTTGTACCAAGCAGGTGCCAGATTATAGCCATTGTGGTATCTGACAGGGATCACAGGGAGATCAGGCTGATTATAGTCATAGGAATTTGCAAGCTGTTAAAAACACTAGAGAAAATCACTATCACAGAAAAAAGACCTGATTGATGCACTTTAATTGCTTTTGTTGTTGAAGTTAGAAAGACCAAGAGTAAGCAAACCTTAGTATTTGTTGCTTTTTAGCATTTCTTCCCTCTATTATTATACTCTATTCCCACACACTGGATGGACTTGATCATGTGAGGCGTGGGAGTACCTGACAATAAGATAATCATTTATTAAATTCATGGGATGCACAAAGGAGGCACAGAGGAAGGATCTCTTTTCTGTGGTCATCCACAGTGACAGGACCCAAGGGAATGGCCTGAAGTGTCAGGCAGATTTAAGCTGGATATTAGAAAAATGTTCTTGCCCAAGAGGGTGTTTGGGCACTGGAACAGGCTCCCCAGGGAAGTGGTCACAACAGCAAGACTCACAGAGTTCAAGAAGTGTTTGGACAATGCCCTCAGGCTCTTGTTGTGACTCTTTGAAATGGTCCAAAGAAGGGACAGGAGTTGGACTCAATGATCCTTGTGGGTCCCTTCCAACTCAGTACCTGATTCTGTGATTCTGTGAGATGTCTTGAAATTTCATACTGTCATATAATTCCTGATCATGCTTTTGTATTTTCAAAGCCGCATCAGATTGGCTGACTCCACCTGGAAGAGAGACCTCTACACCACAAGTTTGAGCACAGTCATGACCTAAAATGACAGAAAATTGTTTTCTGGATTGTGTGGTGTCCTCTGTGAAATAAATTGCTTTTTGCCTTTTGGCTTCTTAGTAGAGATATAGACATGTTTGAAACATTTCCACTGCATTCCATGGCCTATTAGAATATTTAAAGCACAGATGGGTGCAAAGAATGAATGATCCTTTCCCATTCCCATTGGCAGCCCCTTTCCCAGAGCTCCCTTAATGACTTCTCAATGGATAACAGTGAGATTCTAAGTTTTTTAGATTCTAGATTCGTGGTTTTGAGAGGTTGTATAAAAAGAGATGTTCTTAAACCACATGCATTGTGGACAAAAGAAGTTACCCATTCTATGACCATAGGGATACTCTGCATATATTTGGAGACCCACGCAGTTGTTGATGGAAATATGGGCACCCTCTTTGTAAAGTGCTCTTGCAATAATTTTAAACTTAGCCCCTGATATCTGCTGGGTCCAGCTTGACCCAAAACTCCAATAATTTATCCATGGAGAGTCTATTGGTGAAACTGAAGTCTAAGACTGTTCAGGACTGTATTTTTGCTTCAAATTCTTTAAAAGTCTGTTCATACTTGGTCAGCTTTTAGGTACTAGGACAAGGAGTTTAAAAGAACGTGGATGGTTTATCTCTCCAGCATTGCTGCCTGTCCTGATAGCATAATGCCCATAAGTGTTTCAGCATCAATGACATTTTATTTATTCAAAACCACTGGCCATCTTTAAAATAAAAATTTCTTATCTTTCTATAGGGCAATATCTTACAGCCTATATACCAGTTTTGACAGAATCAAGTTAACTGCTGTGGTCATGAATTTATAGAAATCTCCCAGGCTGAGCAAGACTGACTATTTTTGTAAAATGTCAGGAATAGAAATATTAGGCAGCAGGGGAAAAGGTCTGGTCTGCTATGAAAGGTGGCAGCTTTACTTTTAGCTGCAAGCACTGCTGGATCAATTAGGGTGATCACAGGGGCTCAGCTCATTCATATTTAAGGAACGTCCTTTGAAAAACCACTAATGCTTCTGGCAGCAGATTTTGCTCATGGGACAAATACCTTTAAATTAAACATACAAGAGTTCAGTCTTTGAGATGAAAGGGAAGACTGAAACAGTCTGGGGTGGTCTATGCTATTATATATCTTTATTGAACTCTCAGAGGACAAAGAGGCGCGCCAGGTTTTCAGTGCTGGAAGGTTTGCAGGGCTCTTGATGGGCTGCTGGTTTTTTTTCTGAAACACTTCAAGATACACATGGGTCAGACACAGCAATATTTCCATTTACTTTCTGGATATGTCAGTAGAATTTCCCTGTAATCCCTAGGGTTTACTCTTCTATTAAAGGACAGTGCAGGACACACTGTTAGCAGAGATGCCAAAGCCTAGCTAGTGTCTGACATCTTAACCTCCCCAAGAGTTATATTAAAGCAGTGGAAAGTCTCTCTTTGTAGAGAGGCAGGTACCTCTGGCACAGCAGATGAGTGAGTCAGAAAAGATTGCTGTATGCAGCAACTGTTGGATGAAATCTGTTGGCTGCTCAGAAATTTGTTTCTGATTCTTTCTCCAAATACATCTTAAGCTTCATAGGACACAAAGTGTAGAAGTGACAATGGACATCATGCATTCCAATGACCTGTTTGATTTTAATACAGAGTTAACTTTTTTTTTTTTTATCATGTAGCAGCTCTGTGTTGCCTTTCACCTTGCAGAGGCACCCTACGGAATGCTGCTAATAATTTAGGCATTAATTAAGGCATTTGAAACAAGGACAGTGGGCATGTGATGATTTTTATACTACTGAAAAACCATCCAGTTCTGCTCTTTCAAGCTGGGGCTGAATGGGGATGCTGTTATCAGCTTTCTGCCTAATGCCTGAGTCGACCATGCTTAAGCTTTGTAACAGTGCAATTGATGTGGCTGCTCAGGCTGCTGGTACTGCAATCAGCACTGAATTATTTTATGTCAATAGTAACTGCCAGTGGGGAGTTGCACTGCCTCAGTACAGCCATGAGCTTGATGGCTGTTTGTGGGAAGGAAGGGGGTTGAATCCAGACAGCTCTGGTCAAGGATAGGAATTTTTACTTATTCCTGGTAACTTTACAAAAATTGCAAGTTGGTTATGAAGTAAGGATAAATAACTGCTAAGGTCTGAGGAAGAAAGTGCAGGAAGAAAAGAGGAGGAATGCTCACAGAAATTCTACTTTATAACATGTTATAAAAGAGGGGACAGAATTGCATGCCTTATTAATATATGG